TATATATATATATATATATATATATATATATATATATATATAAGAACGTAAGCTATGTCACTGGTTTTAATATTTAAAAAAATAATAAAACGAAGTGTTTTCAAAGAGACTTAATATAAGTTATAACTTGCTGTGATGTGTTTATTACTATGATGCGTTTTAAGTTATTCCTGATGTTATCTCACGAGAACGCTTATTACTGACTACAAAGTGCACGTAACTGTACGTTTTTGAAATAATAATTACAATAATATTTTCATGGATACTAAAATAATCCATTAATATGGTTTTATGTAAATAGGAATTTGACTTACGTAAATAAAAAGTAGTACTTTCTGAGTGGATGCTGCTTACATTAGACTCTCAAGAGTCTCAAGAAAAATAAAGAGCCTAAGAGTCGAGAATAAAATTCGGAGAAAGCTGTTCTTAATTTCCTTCAAATTATCCATTAATTTTGTATATGGGTTGCTTATGATTGGATGTTTGGGTGCTTTTTCCCATATCCCGAACGGAATATAAACTTATTTGTGGCCTCCATCACACAAAATCATAAGACAAAATTCATAACGAAGAAAATTACTAATAGTTTATGGACGCAATGGATCAAAATACGTAGGTGAAAAGAAAAATAACAAATATCAGTCATATATACATTTATTTGTAATGAGAGTTCAATATTTTCATTACAAATTTAACAAGAAAATAACGATACGGAAGCAAAATGTAAATTAAAATATTTCCTAATACCACATCAAATCGAAGAGCGTGATAAGGTATATCTATATCTTCTGAATCAGAACTATAAAAGTATATATAACCACAATATTGAACTATTTTGAACCCTTGTTTGTATGTCATACAAACTTCCAATATTATTTGCCGTAATACAATAGCTATTATATGGTGTTCAGAAAGAAAAAAAATAGACTGAAAAATAGTCAATATTAAAACTTTGTTGAATTATAATATTTATATCTATACCTCTTCAACCCTTTCAGTCCTATGCAGCTTCCCTCCACGTTCATGAACCATCCAAGAGCTAGAGAAAAGAATTCGTTTGTTACAAAATCATTAAATATAAACAGCACACCTTGTACACAAACTGTAATAAAGATTTTCTACTCACATTTCTTAGTTGTACAAAGGTAACAATCACGAACACAAATATTATTAAACGACATAACTATTTTTTGTCTTCGATCAATGAGACATCCCATCTGATCATTACTTTTAGAGCAATTGCATTTGCAAGGAGAATCCCATAGTTCAAAATTCAACAGCCAGTGGTCCCCATCTGAAAGTAAATGGGAAAATTATATTTTCATACCTGACTTCATGTTCAATTTTTCATCAACATGCACGAAAGTGATATCTCTATGGTAAAAAATGTTATTAAATAGTTTAATTTGAACGTGATGCACCACTTTTATCGCCGATGTCTATAACAGCTTCCCTGTCAGTAGTATTACAACTTCTTTTCATCGTGAATCACGCAGGAATGTACTAAATAACATACAAACGAATACATTGTATTCAATAAACAAATTTGATTAAAAAGTTTAACAATTTCGCTAATAACAAACTTTTACTTTACCATTTCTTGCCATTCGTAAGAAGAGAAAGTATCGTAATCGTGTACGGAAATGGCGAATTTTCGACAGAAACACCATTTTTGCGGCTCCAGATAACCAAAACGAGTATAAACATTGTTCTGATGTATAGTACACCTTTCTTGCACACACTGAGTAGGCAGAATCTATGTCCATGGTGTCATTGACACCGAAAAAAATATTTAAGCGGTCAAAGCTAGCGCCCAAACCATTCAGCAAATTTTCTCCAAAATTAATATTACTCATTCCTTTTAAAGGAATTCAAGGCCCTACGATTTTGAAACTGATATTTTGATTTTTGGAATACTTTATAATAACCCTCAGCAACATTATCAAAATTGAAAAATATGTTTGAAAGTTTTGTATTAAACAGTATTGTCATATGGCCTAAAGGATGATTTAAATAATGCTGCAATAATGCGTTTATTGATTGAAGTTCCAGATTTTTTCCGAATTTTCCCCGTAAATTTCAATAGTTCAAATCTTTTCAGTGTCTTTCTACAGTTACGAAATTGAAGATTTTGTCTTGAATAAATTGTTCTTCAAAGACATATCTTGAAATAAGATCACGTACAATTTTTCGAAAATATAGTAATTTTGTGTGAATTAGAGACATTATTAAACTATTTATTCAAAACTGTTCCTGTTTCATTCTTTTTAATTCCTCCTCGTATGTACAAAAGTTATACAATATATAAGTTAACTATTAAGTAAATCTAAATTGGAAATCTAATATATGTTTCAGTTTGTACATGTGTTCACTATTGTTCAACATATTCACTGAAAGTAGGCTCGTATGGCAGTTGAGTCTCGCCTTATGTCTCTTACTTCGCTCGCTGATTGTCTCTGCCATAGTTGAGATGTTCGAATCTTTGTAAAAATTATCTTCGTTACAAATCACGACGCTTTGCATAGACATCTCAGTGTTTTTGTTTCGAGTCTTCTCAGTATCTCCAGGTTTGACTAGCTGGCAGTACCTCATAGTTCTATGCCGTAAGTCCATGTTGGCTCGATTGTTGCTTTGTACAGTAATATTGTGTTATACAAGGAGAGCATAGATCTTCAATTAAGTAGCCATGATGTGTTTACTTTTACTTGTGATTCTTTCCTCTTTTTGGAAATGGGGTTTCAGATGAAGTGACTATCTACATGTAACTCAAGATAACTCACTACAGTTGTTACTGAGAGTTCTGACGAGTTTAGTTTCACTTTTGGACACTTTCGAAGTGAAAAGGTAAGATATGATTTTGCTGCGTTTATAGTTACATTCCATTTAATCGTCCATTCTTCTGTCTTGTCCAGGTGCGCTTGCAGGTGTTGTGATGCTCGACTTGAGTCCTTGTTGGCAGCTGCGATAGCTGTGCCGCCAGCGAATCATAGTAGGTCATATATAACATACACTATTGATCCAAGGACAACGGTTTCGCAAGGGTACCTTGAGGAACACCTGCGCTCATTGGTTTAAATTGGCTACACGTTTGATATATATATATATATATATATAT